AAATTGGGAGTTCATAACCCACTTGAATCTAATGTATGAAATATGATATGTCAAGAGCTTTGTAATGTTGTGAACAACCAATAAAAAAATCACTAAAAAAAAAAACAAAATATAATCCCAAGGGTGTGCCCCAGTTACTTGCCCTAGACCTACTTCCTTCAGTCACACCCTACCTGCCTACAGTTACCACCCCATAATCCATTCAAATTATTAATCCAAATGGGTTAATCCACTGATTAAGTTACAGTTCTCAGAAGGTAATCATTTCATTTCACCACTCAACATTCCTGAATTGCCTAACATCATGTACTTTCCAGGGCATAATGCATATTATATATATATGTTGGTAATATGGTGTTATCAAGTCATAAGGTCATGTTACCTACTAATTCTCCTATTCATATGCCCATGAAAGTAAAAAATATGCACAGGAACTCTTACATGTAAATGTTCATGGCAGCATGATTCATAATAGCTAAAAAGTGGAAACAACTCAAACATCCCTCAAGTGATAAAGTGGATAAATAAAATGTGGTAGTTTATATAATGCTCTATTATTTGACAGTATAAAGAATGAAGTACTAATGCATACTACACCATAGACGACCCTTGACACATTATGCTAAGTGAAAGAATTCAGTCACAAAAAACCAACAAATGCTTCCATTATAATGAAATGTAGTCAATTGCATAAAAAGAGAAAGTAGATTAATGGGGATACTAATTAATTAGTGGGATATTTTGGACTAGAGAGAGAGGAGAGAAGGGAGGGGAAGTGGCATGGTAGTAGGAATGATAATAGAATGAACTGCACATTATTACCATATATGCATATATAATACACGACCTATGTAACTTTATAACATATACAACCAGACGAATGAGAAATTATACTCCATTTATGTATGATGTGTCAAAATTTGTTCTATTCATGTATAATTAATTAGAACAAATAAAAATATATTCAAAATCATTCAATTATACACTTCAAAGGATGAATTATATGGTTGTAAAAAATAAAGATGTGTATTCCTTATATAGTTAACATTGACATTGGGAATTTTGACCTTTTTATTTTTTATGAAAGGACACCAACAATCTTCCAAATTTCCATTGTTCTTTATTGCCTTGGGTGTTATTATTGTCTGGTTCAGCATAAATACTGATTCACTTAATAGTAAAAATATAAACTATGTTATCTCTTAGAGCTTTAGATCGATGTATGGGTCTATTTCAGTGAACCACTGGATATGAGAAATGGAATCCTTTCTATTAACTGGTGGCAAGAAAAAACAGCAGAGGTTCAGGAGATCCTTTCCATAATGTGAGCAGGTAGCATTTCTGGACAGAAAACGAAAGTGAGGTAGAGAAAATTTTGATTGGTCGCTGCTTAATGTTGGCTTCATTTGAACATGTTCTGATCAAGTAGAAGCCTGTGATTGACTGAAGCATGGCTACAGTAATTGTCTGAGACTCGGCTATTTGTTACAAAAGTCTACTCCTATGTTAGATTTTCTATTAGTCTAATATACTGTATTAGTCAGCTTTTCATCACTGTGACCAAAATATCTGACAAGAACAACTTTGAGGAAGAAAAATTTATTTTGGCTCACAGTTATAGAGGTCTCTGTCTATGGTCCTCTGACTCCAATGCAGAAACATGACAGAAAGATCTTGTGGAGAAAACCTGCACAACTCATGGCAGTCAGAGAGAGAGAGAGAGAGAGAGAGAGAGAGAGAGAGAGAGAGAGAGAGAGATCCACCAGGAGAAGAGAAGAGGGGGGCAGGGAGTAGAAAAACCCTTCAACTAGGTCCCACCTCCCAGTAATACATTTAGCTATCAATGGATTAATCCACTGATGAAATCAGAGCCCTCAGGATCCAATCATTCCCTAAAAGTAAAAGCCTCACCTCTGAACCTTATTGCATTGGGAACCAGGCTTTCAGCACACAAGTTTTTTTTTTTGTTGTTGTTGTTGTTGTTTTTTTGAGGGGTGAACATTCCAGATCCAAACCATTACACATACTAACTTAAGTTGCGGTTCAGAAAGAAGAGTGAGCCTCAGAATGAATTTAGTTTAATTTAATACTGGGTAGCTGCCTTGAGAAACAGAATGTATTTCATTAAGGATACTTCACTTGGGTTCAATTCTCAAACGACCATAAGCACTTGCTAGCTATGAAAGCTTGGACCAATGACTCTTTGATCTTTGGTCCCTTCATGAAAAATGAAGATAATAATACCCCCATCATAAGGTGTTCTGAGAATTTAATTATATGCAGAAAGCTCTTGGCACAGCATCTAACTTGTAATAAGTATTGAATAAATAGTTATTCACACAATTACTGTTTATATTTATTATCATTATTATTTACAACAGTTTCTAATCAAATGCTTTCCTCTTAGAGTAGGCAAAAGATCTTTCATGGCTGTTGACTCTTCTTCTCAAGCCCTGTTGATGTGTACTGTCCTCTTCACAGATCGACATAAAAGATATGATGCAATTCTTAAGCTTTTACATTGTCAGTTGAACAAGGTTCAGTCAAATAGAAGATAATGGCGATGGAACATTCAACAGCTGGAAAAAACTGCAGCTGAACTAAGAAAATGTGTTTGAAAAAAAGAGTGACATTGCCATCGGGCAATGTGGAACACAGACCATGACAACAAAACTTTGGGGACAGAATTTTAAGAAAATCCTTTGGTTGCTTAACAACCAGCATCCACTGGCAGAGGCCTGTCTTAATGACAGATATATTTTATTGTTTTTGAATCAGTTATCTGTTGTTTAAAGTACTTTCCAACCTTATAACAGGTGGCACTAGATAAAAGCAATGCTTACAAGAAAACAGTGGAAGAACCTGTGTGAACATTTCAAGTGTGTATAATACATTATGCTTACATTTTAACAATGTTGAATTCACTGTGCTACAAAGTAAAAACTTAGAAGAAGAGAAACAACGAAATTTTCAATAATTTAAATTGTTGAGATAGTAAAAATGGTTGTTTTCAAACTTTTTATTGGATCATTCTTTTTACTACTGCCTTCATATTATCCCACAAATATTAATATTCACAATAATATTGTTATATGTTTAATGCTCCAGATATTTCACTCAGATTTGTCTTTTAGAAGGTAACAATCATTTTTATTTCTTATTAAATAACATATTTTAGAATATTGCAATAGGTAATATTTTTGTTCCTTTTTCTGGCTATAAATTCTTTATTTCTACTGTGACTAAATTAAAGTTACAACATCATGTAAGGCAAACATACAAGCAAGTTCTTGAAAGAAGTTAACTGGTATACACAAATATATTTTTATTCTCCTAGAAAAGCAAATATTATGTCCATGGCAATAGATCAAATGTTAACTTTTTCTTTTAAAATAAAGGTGCTCCCTTTCATGGCTCCATTGAGTCAAATACTTAGTAGCAAAAACAAAATATTAATTATTGCCGAGACTGTTTTAAATATTCACTTTGTAGGACAAAATGATTTCAAAGCAACATCAACAACACATTTAAAATCCTTTTTCTCCTCACCTTTCTATATGCCTGAGATTCAATAAAAGTATAGTTGATACAAAACCTGATATAAATAATCTCATTATGTCTGACATTAATAGTCTTATCATGGCTTAGCATGGCTTACTATGGTTAACACTTCAAATGGCTTATCCTGTAACATAATCAGCTTTGGACCATGACTCAGAAACACAGCTACAAACGAAAATAGTTGAACCTACAGATTGTAGAGAGTACCCACTAAGCTAAGCTGGAGATGAGGCAGAAACAGATGCTGATCATATAAATATATTTTAATATAATTTGTAGGTTAAGAATTCTTATATTGACACTTTACAATTTTAACTATAGCTTATGGAAAGGAAAATTTTCTAAACTTTAAGTTTATGATGAGATTCAAAATATTTATACATAATAAATAATACCTTATATAGTTTCAGGAAAATCCAGTGTCTAAGAAGTGACTGCACTAGGTGAAAGTTGTCAAGAGACCACAGAAAGGGGCAAATAGATCCAAAATTGCACAGCGTACACATTATGGGGGACTCACGGACAGAACCATGGTCAAGGATGACAATAAGACTAGTGGATCCAGGGCTGGGGATGTGGCTTAAGTGGTAGCGTGCTCGCCTAGCATGTGTGAGGCACTGGGTTCGATTCTCAGTACCACATAAAAATAAAATAAAGATACTGTGTCCACCTTAAACTAAAAAATAAATATATAAAAAAGACTAGTGGATACATAGCAATGTAGGCTTAAAAAGAGTGGCTTTCAACCAAGTAGAAGTATTCCTGGATTTATCGCAAGCTAACATCAAAGATGTCAAGCATATTCTTGGAGCTGACAGTGCTAGGGTCTGGTTGTAAAGCTCCACATACCTCTCTAATGATTTTGTTAATCTGTCATAATCTGGCAAACAGGCCAGAGGTTTCTCAGAGCAATCATGGTGGCTACAATTCAAGATGGTTGCAGTCTGGTCAAGCTGGGTCCCTACAATCATATGTGTGGAAGTTCATTTTTAAATTAAGATTAAAAATATATAGGTCTAATCTGCTTCAGATAACGTAGTTTTTAAAAATATCATTAATAATACATGCAATATTTTCAATTTTGTGGCAGCTAAATTATTTGAAAGCATTTTCCTTTCTCTTTCTAATCTTTAAAATGATTTCAGATAGTGGAGATTTTAAAAATAATCAAGAATAACTAAAGCATGAGGTGACCTCCAACTTAATGAATTGGTAGTTATGATATTTCAGCCCCATCATAAAGCCTAAGGTTGGAAAATTAAAGTTTTTAAATTTTTATTTCTGTGTAACTGAATCTAGCTTAAAATATGAGCTCTTTAGCCTAGTGTTCTTAGACTCTTTTCTGTTACTATAACAGTATATCTAAGGCTGTTTAGTTATCAAGAAAAGAAGTTTAGTTATCCCATAGATTTGGAGGTCAAAAGTCCAAATAGGATAGCACCAGCTCTGGCAAGGGCAAGGGCCCCTCTTGCTACATTACCTCATGGCAGATGACATCATGGTAGGAGTAGGTGTAGGAATGACAGATCACATTGCAACATGGGAATCCAAAGATCCACTGGGGACTACTTGAGATCCTAGGAGAACTATGCAATCTCTGAGGCCCTAAGGACTTTCCATTAGGGCCCACCCCTTAAAGGTCCCATCTCCTAGACATTACCACACTGAGGACCAAAGCTCCAACATATAAACCTTTTGGGGACATAAATTAATTACAAACCATCTCATGGTCTTTCTCACATATTTCTCGTTTAAAACTCTGTCTCTTTAGGGTCAACACTCAGTTCATAATTCTCATCCTCATTTTCTTCTCCTTAGAAATGGTAAGTCCCTGGAAGGCAAGAGTTGGTTTCACAAAGATGGAAGCAGATTTCAGAGATCATCCAGAACATCTACACAACTTGAAGCTTCAGAGCCAGCAAAAGTCCCACAGGGATACTCTCAGCACAGCAAAATAGAGACAGCCTAAAAGATTTGGCCCAGATCCCCACTGACCTGCATGGGAGCTTGGGCCCAAGGTAGGCCAGAGTCCATCCTGCCACTGGCAGACATCAGCTGAAGGTCAGGATCCACCCAGGACCACCTTCACTCACAGGCCCAGGACTCCCTCCGTCCATCAGTAGACACCAGCCAGAGTCAGGCTTAGCCCAGATCTGCCTCATTGATCTTCAGCGGGAGCCAGGGCTCAGGGTAAGCTTGGGTCTATCCCCACCTCAAAGACCAGGTGTAACCCAGTTTCATTTTGAGACACTGAAGCCAGCTCCATAGCCTTCACCATGCAGTAGCCTCTACCTTGGAACAACAGACAGGGCCTAGAAGCAGCTGTATCCTGGAGCAGGCATCCCAAAGCCACCTGTTCAGCCCCTATCTCTGAAAGACATTGCATCCATCTTGGGGCACCTCCACTGCTATCTCCATTTTCGACCTGCAATTACCACCACCACTTACAGTTGCAATAGCATCCATCCTGGGACACCAACAGGGTCTGGAAGCCCAACACCAAAGTGAGACACAGATAATATGCACAGACACTACAAGATTATAGGGTAAAAATTGTAATACCTCAGATCCACACTACAAGTAAGGAAATCAAATAGAAAACATAAAAAAACAAGGGAGGAAAGTGCCCCAAACAAACCAGGATACTATAATAACAGAACCTATGGGCAGTGCCATTCATGAAATGTCAGAGGAGTTAAGAATGTTCATAATTAAGATGATCTGTGAGTTAAAATATGTTCTAAATAAGAAAATACAGGCAAAAATTGATCACTCAAAAAAGGAGGAGGAGGAGAAGGAGGAGGAGGAAGAGGAGAAGAAGAAAAAGATGGAGGAGGAGGAGAAGAAGGAGGAGGAG